GACATTTTAGAAAAAGTGGTTTTAGTGGAGAGAAACAGAAACCAATTTTTAGTGAAAATTAGTAGATGGTCCTGAATTGCAGAAAGAGACTTTGAAATACTTGTTTGATAAATTTTGCAGTGAAGGAAAAGACAAAAAATGTGGGTAGACTGAGAGAAAATTAAAGGGAAAGTCCTTTGAAAATGGGGGGAAATGTAAGAGTTTATAATTTATTACCTAATAACCAATATTTGTAACTAAACTTAAATTTTGCCAATCTAATAAGTGAAAATTATTTGTTTTGCTGTATATTCAATTATAAATAAAACAGACTCCTTAAAACTCATATTGGATTTTTCATTTGTTAGAAATTTTTAATCAATGCAATTAATTTTTCATCATAAATTTGAAAAATGTTTTGTTAATAGTCTTTCAACTTTATTCAATCTATTTTAATAATCTTATTATCAGTTAAGTTTAGACACAGTAATAGAAATCCAAACAAGAGTGGTATAACAAAAAGTGTGTTTTTCTCTCACATCTGAAGATGTTTATCACCCGTACTTTGTTCCTCTACTCCAGGGCTTTGCTGGAGCACTGGTCTTTGGCTCCAAGTTCCTATATGGGATATAGGGATTAGATAGTTTGAATCTCTCCCCTTTTAGAAACTTTTCTGAAAACCTCATTGAATATATTCTACTTCTATTTTGTCAGGTGTGTTATTTGGCCACCACTTATTGTAAGGGGACTGAGAAATGTAGTTTCAGCATCAAACAAAATTATATTTCAGTTAGTAAGAAAATTTTTATATATAAAAATTATATATATATACACATATATATATAATTGCCCACAATGCCATATATATGTGTATATATGTATATGTATGTATGTATATACACATATACATATATATATATATATTACATATGTTTATATAATTATACACTTACTAGGCCTGATGCACAAAATTCATGCAAGAGTAGGCCTTCCTTCCCCTGGCTGCTGGCACTGGCCTCCCTCTGGCACCCAGGACCTGGGCTTCCCTCCAGCCACCAGCAGGCACCTGGGACCCGGACATCTCTCGCAGCCCTGGCTCTGTCCAGAAAGATGTCCAGCCTAATTAACATATTATACTTTTATTATAGATATATATATCACAACTTTTTATATCACAACTTTTTAATATATATATCACAACTTGTCAATGGATTGACACTTAGGATGTTTCTATATCTCGTCTACTGTGAATAGTGTTGCAGTGAATATGGGAGCACTGATATCTCTTTGAGATACTGATTTCATTTCTTTTGTGTATACACTCAGAAGAGGGGTTGCTGGATCATATCGTAGTTGTATTTTTATTGTTAATTCTTTAGGAAACTTCATACTGTTTCTCTTAATGGCTATACCAATGTACATCTCCACCAACAGTATACTAGGGTTCACTTTCCTTCACATTCTTGCCAGCCCATTGTCTTTCATTTTTTTTATAGTTAGCCATCCTAACAGGTATGAGGTGATACCACATTGGTTTTGTTTTGCTGTTCCTGATGTTTAGTGATGTTCAACACCATTTTATATACCAGTTAGCAATTTGTATGTCATTTTGGGAAATATGTCTATATTCATATCCTTTGCCCATTTTTTAATTGTGTTGTTGGTGGTTTGTTGTTCATATTTTTTGCTGTTGACTTGTATGTTCTCCTTATATATTTTGGATCTTAATCTCTTATCAGATAAATTATTGCTAATATCTTCTCTTATTTTGTTAGGTTATTTTATTTTGTTGATTCCATTGTGATGCAGAATCTTTTCAGTTTGGTGTAGATGGTATGTTAATTAGCTTGACCAGTAATTTGTGTGTGTGTGTGTGTGTGCGCGCGCGCGCGTGTGTGTGTATCTCAAATCATTGTATTCTACACCTTAACTGTATACAATTTTAATTTTGAAAGATACAAAAATAAATTTAAAAAGTAAAGGCATCTGAAAATAAGGTAGGCAGGTAGCAGTTTCCATGAATAAACTTACTGCTTTTTACCTGTATGGCTTCTGGGTTTATCATGTAGGTAATCCTTCCAAAAGCTTGCTTGTAAAAAGTGAGGTAGCAGAGAGCTTTTGTTTATTTCCTTCCAAATGGAGAGTTTATTAATCCTTTTTCCTCTTGATTTTATCCTCTGCTTTCAATGCTACCCTTACTTATCTTAGAAATTCTCAGACAGATTTGCTTCCTCTGACTTCTCTAGTCTCTCCTTTCTTTAGTACCAAACTAAAGAAACACCATGGTTTTGTAAACTCCATGATTCTACCATCTGTGTGGGATAGGATTAACACTTTCCAATTGTTTTTAGTATTTTTTTTACCTATTGTTAAATAATTATTTTTACAAATGAACTTCAGTACTTAATGTGTTAGCAGCTCTTCACCTTGCCTCCAAAAATCATTTTTGTGTGTTTTTTTTTCACCTGAGAAATTAATGTATTGGTTAATTTAGGCAGAATTAACCATTTTACAACCATATATTCATTTCTCAGTAGTTTAATATTTTCTGAAAGGTCTTGTATATTTTTAAATTTTATTTTTAGAAACTTTTCTATTATTGGAATATTTTATTCCATTTAAGTTTTAATTGTTGCAGTTGTGATAAAATATATATAACATAAATTAAACATTTTAATCATTTTTTAATTCTTATCCAAGGATATGTTTTTATGGATTTTTGAGGGGGAGAGAGAGAGAGAGACAGACAGATATCCATGTGAGAGAAACATCAATTGGTTGCCAGTTGTTTCCCATAAACACCCCATTCAGAGATCATACCCACAACCTAGGTAAACATACCTTGACCGGGAATTGAACTTGTAACCTTTTGGTATATGGGACCATGCTCCAACCAACCGAGCCAGGACTTACCATTTTAACCATTTTTAGGCATTGAACTATTATAGTTCAATGCCATTAAGTATATTGATATTGTTATGCAGCCATCACTATCATCCATGTCCAGGATGTTTTTCATCATCCCAAACTAAAAATTCATACTCAATAGACAATAACTTTCAATTCCCTCTTTCTCCTAGCTTACTAACTACTGTATCTGATAATTTGACTATTCTTAACTCATGTAAGTGGAATTATACATTATTTGTCCCTTTGTGGCTAGTTTATTTTACTTAGCATAATGTCTTCAAGGTTTATCTACGTTGTAGCATGTCTCAGTTTTCTTCCTCTTTAAGGTTAATATTCGTGTGTGTGTGTGTGTGTGTGTGTGTGTGTGTGTATACACCACATTTTCTTTATCCATTTACCTGCCAGTGGACATTTGGATTACTTCCACTTTTTGTCTACTGTAAATAATGCAGCTATGAATATGGGTGTACAAATATCCTTTTAAGCCCCTGATTTCAACTCTTTTGGGTATATGCATAGAAAGGGAATTGCATGCTTAATTCTGTGTTTAATTTTTGAGGAACCACTCTACTGTTTCCACATTGACTACTCTAATTTCATTTTCGCCAACAATGCAGAGGCATTCCAATTTCTCTAAATCCTTACCAACACTTATTTTCTGTGCCCTTCCTCTCGTGTGTGTTTAAATAATAGCCATTCTAATGACTATGAAGTAGTATATTGTGGCTTTGGTTTTCAGTTCCTTAATGGTTAGTGATGTTAGGGATCTTTTCATGTGTTTATTGCCATTTGTATATCTTCTTTGTAAAAATATTCAAGTCGTTTGCCCATTTCTAATTAGGTTGGTTGTTTTTGCCATTGTTGTCAGGTTTCTTTTTATATTAGGGATATTAACTCCTTGTAAGATACATAATTTCCAAATATTATCTCTGATTCTGTGGGTTTCCTTTCCATACTCTTGACAGTGGTTTTTTTGTTTTGTTTTGTTTTTGGTTTTTTTCACAAAAGTGTTTATTCTGAGGTAGCTCCATTTATTTATTTTTGCTTTTGTTGCAGTGCTTTGATGTTATCCAACAAATCACTGCCAAATCCAGTGTCATGAAACCTCTGTTTATGGTTTCTTCTAAAATTTTAATAAATATAGGTCTTTTGTCCACTTGAGTTAATTTTTGTATATGATGTAAGATAAGGGTTCAGACTTCATTCTTTTGCATGTTAGTACCCAGTTTTCCCAACATCATTTGTTAAAAAGACTGTCCTTTCCTTATTAAATAAATAGTCTTGGCACCCTTATAAAAATCCTTTTTGACTATATGTGAGAATTTATTTCTGGGCTCTCCTATTCTGTTCTATTCTATTCTATTCTATTCTATTGGTCTGTCTGACTTGATGATTGTATTCTAGTAAGTTTCAAGTTGTTTATTTTCTGTATGAAAGAACACTAGTGAACTTAAGTATTAATTAGTAACCAGGTACTTTACTAAAGTCTCATATAGTTTTTCAGTCGGTACTTTTCTCAAATTTTATCTTATTTTTGTCTTAATTTTATCTTAATTTTGTTGCCTTTAAAACAATATTAAATAATTATGCTATGTACATATTGTGCTTATTTTTCTTATGATTTAATAGGAATTTTTCTAATATTTCACTATAGAGCATGATGGAAATTTTGGTTTGAGATGTGCTCCTGAGCTTTTTTTTGTTTTTTTTTTTTTTTTTACTTGTTTTTTGTTTCAGAGAGGAAGGGAGAGGGAGAGATAGAAACATCAATGATGAGAGAGAATCACTGATTGGCTGTGTCCTGCACACACCCACATTGGGGATAGAGCCCACAGCTTGGGCATATGTCCTGACCAGGAATCGAACTGTGATCTCCTGGTTCATAGGTCTATGCTCAACCACTGAGCCACACCGACTGGGCCTGAGCTTTTGAAGTTGGTATCAAAAGCTTAATTGCAGTTTGGCACTTAATTGAAGTTTGTTACTGTTGCCATTAACAGTTATAAATTGTTGGTCTGAAGCTATCATAAAAGAATTGTCCAGTTTGGGGGTTCTTATATACAATCTCATATCAGAGGACCTTAACTATTTGACTTTTTTATTTTTTTCAGAATGGTCAAAGTTTTCTGGTTTTGGATGAACAAAGGTTTGCAAAAGAAATACTTCCCAAATACTTCAAGCACAATAACATGGCAAGCTTTGTGAGGCAACTGAATATGTGTGAGTATGGACAGCAGTATATTTGGAGTACTTTCTTCCATAAAGAGGAAGAAAACTGAGACATGCTACAACATAGATAAACCTTGAAGACATTATGCTAAGTAAAATAAACTAGCCACAAAGGGACAAATAATGTATAATTCCACTTATATTTGATTAAACAGTTTTTTCCCATTAGAATGATAAGGAGGAAATATACTACATAGAAGCACTATTAAATTTTGACTTCTCTGTTTTAGTCATCTGAATTTTGAATCTTTTTCAGATGGTTTCCGTAAAGTAGTACATATTGACTCTGGAATTGTAAAGCAGGAACGAGATGGTCCTGTTGAATTTCAGCATCCTTACTTCAAACAAGGCCAGGATGACTTGTTGGAGAACATTAAAAGGAAGGTGGGGTATTGTTAACATGATTTAATTAGGGCATTACCATGTCATACACTTGGCTGAGACATCAGTGTTGAAATTGAGAATGTATAGAAATACATTGGTGTTCTTTGTTAGGATAACTTAGACTAATAAAGTTTTAATTATTCCCTGCTATTCCCCCCCCCCCCCCCCCCCCCCCGTGCTGAATTATACTGAGTGCTCAAACACCTTAAAAGGGAAGGAAAATGCTTGCATGCTGACTGAGAGGAGGAGCCATTCATATTGGGGTAGCTCACTCCTTTTAATTTAGCTTAAAAAAATGTAAGCCCTACTAGAATGTAAATTCTGTGGAGGGCTTTTTATGTCATTTACTGTTGAATTCAAATGCCCAGAATAAGTATATAGTAGGCATTTAACAGTACATTTTTTAATGAATTTTTTACTGAAATATCTTACCAAATCCAGAAAATGGGGGTGGGAGGGTAGAGAGGTAAAAGGGCAGTGGGCCATGGAAGAAAATGGCCTAACAAGAAGCTATTACTGCATAAATTTTTGGAATGTGATAATAAAGAGGCTTGGGGAAATTACAGGGAGTTTGACAGAATGAAATGAAGAGGAAAAAAGCCCTTAAGGTGTTCCTGCTTGTGGAAACTGGAAACTTACCCACATTTTTAAAAAATAGACTGATTATTCTTTATCCTCTCTCTGAACTATGAAGTGTATTCTCTCCCTAGAATCTTATCCAGGTCTTTTTGGAAATGGATTACTTCCTGAACAAGCTATAAGATCCTCTTAATAGGGAAGCTTTGATTTACAGTCAAGGCATTTGTTTGACATCCTAAATATGCTTTTTGAAAGGTTTCATCTTCAAAACCAGAAGAAAGTAAAATTCGTCAGGAAGATTTAACAAAAATTATAAGTAGTGCTCAGAAGGTTCAAATAAAACAAGAGACTATTGAGTCCAGGCTTTCTGAGTTAAAAAGGTAAAGTATTATTTCCAAATATAATTCTGTTATGGGGTTGGTGTGTTCATTGTGTGTTGTGAATTGGAGGTTAGTGCTCTAAGTACTTTTAGAAAATGTTGTTGAAGCCAAGGTCAAAGAATATTTTTCTGTAAATATTGGTTCCCTTTATTTTTAATGTGTAGCCATAGACTTTACCCCAATATTGTATCTTCATAATGGTGGTCGAAAGAATATAAAAATATGAGCTTTTGAAACAATATTATACACATGCCTTAGTATTTGATGAAAGAGTAGATCTTTAAATTAGTGTAGGAAATAACATAAGTTTTTTTTCTTTTCTTTTAAAAAATATGTCTTTATTTTAGAGAGGAAGGAAGGAAGGAAAGAAGGAAGGAAGGGGGGGGGGAGAGAGAGAGAGAGAGAGAGAGAGAGAGAGAGAGAGAGAGAGAGAAAGAGAGAAAGAGAGAAAGAGACCTCCATCAGTTGGTTGCCTCCCACATGCAACTTCAGACTGCACCTGCAACCTGGGTATGTGCCCTGACCAGGAATGGAACTGTGATCCTAGGGTTCATAGGACGGCACTCAACTAACTGAGCCACACAAGCCAGGAGAGGTTAACTTTTATATGATCATACACGAGGGCACACAAAGTACTACATGTGCCGCCTATTCTTTTTTTGTGTGACCTATCTCTTAGGAAAAAGTAGGACATAAAAAATAGGGGGGAAAGGACACAAGTCTGAAAAAGTACAGTATTTTTTGGGGGGGTAAGTATTAAAGTCTCATTTTCAATACCCCCTATTTGTAAATATAGTTCTTTTTGTAATAGTTTGGATTGAAGAAGATGGATTTTGTGGAAATTAACAAAACAATGAATATTGTAATAGGTGGATTATCTTTTATGTTTTCTCAGCATTATCATTGCTGCTAACATTCAATAGCAATGCAATTTCAATAAATGTTGAATGAAGGAAAAGAAAATATTATTCCTGGTCCAGTTAATTGGTTTGCCATATATTTGAATATGCTTTTCAAAGACAAATATTTCCTAGTGTTTTTATACGCTTGTTTTTTTTAGACAGATCTTAATATACCGTTTTTAAAATCTGACTGACTTTAGTTCATCTTTAACCCTTAGCAAATTATTTGTGTGATCTTGGGCAAGTCTTCTCAATTCTCTGAGTCTTAGTATCCTAATTTATAAAATAGAGATAATAATTCCCTTCCTGATGGATTTGAAAGAAGTTTAAATGATTAGTACATATAAAATGCTTATGATAGTACCTGGAGCATTTTAATTGCTAGGTAAATATCACTTTCCGTTAAGAATTGTTTTCTAAGCACAAGTACTGAATTCACTTGGTAGCCATAGTTGAAAGGTTAGCTTAAGCCAGCGTTTTTCAACCGCTGTTCTGCGGCACATGTTGCCTGGTGTGCTGTAGGTGCAGACAAGACAAGAATTTTATAATTTTTCACTATTTTGTTTACTTAATATTTCATAATAAAGTAATTATAAAATACTTTCTTTGTGTTTATTTGATTCCTATTCAAGAGAATTACTTTATATATAGTCAATATAGGCACAGAGTTAAATTTTTTTTAACATTTTCTAATGGTAGTGTGCCTCGTGATTTTTTTCATGAAACAAGTGTGCCTTTGCCCAAAAAAGGTTGAAAAACACTGGCTTAAGCAAGAAATAATGAACCAGATTGTCAGAGAAATAAATTGCCTACTACTATATGGATGTAGGCATGAGCCTTAAGTTTTTGTGAATATAGTGTCATGAGTAGAAGCTACTGCAGTTATGAAGGAACGATTCTAGATTTGTGTCAAGATAGTTGTCATTTATATAATTGAACCAAAGATTTTCTAGTCTCATAAAAATATATAATAACTACTTAAATCCTCTGGTATTTTTTATCTTTATTTTTAATTTTTAAAAATGTGTTATCCCCATGTCTTTAATTCTCTTCCCCCACCCCTCCTCCCACACACATACACCTTTAGCAACCATCAGCTAGTTCTTTATATTTGTGGTATTCTCTGCTATGCTTAATTAAATATATTAGGGTCTGGCTTTCTGAATGAATTCTTTTTTTTTTTTTTTTTTTTTTTTTTTGCTTTTGTTTTTAAATAAATGATGACATAGTGAGAATGAGTCCCTTTGGAAGGAGGTGTCAGAATTACGAGCAAAACATGCACAACAGCAACAAGTTATTCGAAAGGTAAGCTTTTTCCCTCATGATCCTAATTGCGTGTTTTAATAAGCACCATTTGTGACCCAAAGAATACTTTTTGAATAGTCCGTGATTTTAGTTTCTTATATGTTAAGTGCACAATTAGAAGTAAAATTATGAAATCAAACAAATTAGGCCAAGTGTTAATATTACTTTTAATAAAAAATATAGTAATTTCTTACTCCCAGTTAATGTCATTAACTTTTACTAAAGATCCTTTTGCCTGACAGAACAACTTTAAAATATTTTATTCTTAGATGCATAATTAATACATTGTCAATTTCTTACACAGTTATTACTATAAAAAACAAAGCTTTATTATGTGGGGACTCTTTGTTCATTTGTTTTTACTATTTTTTTACTCTAAAAGGCATAAGTACAGGTTCAGAAGATAATGTTTTCAAATCGGTTGACCAAATTATGAGTTCAAAAAAATGAGTTATGAATATATGTCACTATTAGTCTTTGCAGAAAAGCAGTTAACATAATTTTGTAAAATAAATCCTATATTTTAGTACTTGAGCTGAAAATTGCTGGAGGAACTGAGAATCCCTTTGTTGCATTGTTTCTTTGTGATTTGATCTATTCATATAATCTTTCATATGTTAATAAGAGGTGAAATATAAAAGTAATTAAGGTAGCTATTTTTTGCTCATGAGTGAATTGGACTCTAAGTTTAAACAACAGAATTTTCTTTCGGGGGGAGGAGGGTGCATAGTTGGAGAGCTTCAGCTTGTCCATGCTCAGAGGACTTTAGCTAAAAATAGCATTATGACTGACAGGATTTGAATCTAGTGGAACAGGCTTAGAAAAGAGATGAATGGTAGTTGCGACCTCTGGCCTATAGTCAAAATAGCTTATTTTTAATTTTTTTTAAATTATTATGCAAGTGAAGTTTGAATGTAAAATTCAATTCTGAGTCCCAAGTTACATATGTTTTCAAAACTTTCCATAGCTAATTTCAACATGCAGTCCTGTTAAGAATACCTGATTTTTATTTTTTTTATTTATTTTTTTATATATTTTATTGATTTTTCACAGAGAGGAAGAGAGAGGGATAGAGAGTTAGAAACATCGATGAGAGAGAATCATTGATCAGCTGCCTCTTGCACACTCCCTACTGGGGATGTGCCCTCAACCAAGGTACATGTTCTTGATCGGAATCGAACCTGGGACCTTTCAGTCCGCAGGCCGATGCTCTATCCACTGAGCCAAACCGGTTTCGGCAAGAATACCTGATTTTTAAACGATAATGTACCTTATCCTGTTACTTTATTTTTAAAAATCTGTTCCTCATTTTTCAGAAAACAATATTTTGCTTAAATACTAACTTACAATATCTGCAATTTGTTGGTTTTTTACCCTCCCTAATGGCAAGAATAGTTTGTAAAATGCTTATATATCATTTCAATTTTTCATGAAAGCTAACATTCTATCTGCTCAGATTTGAGTTTGAATCTATGTGTTTTGTTGGGGGTTAGGGAGTTTATATAATCATTTTTTCTCTATTCCTGGAATTGTTTTTAATTCTGCAATTTACTCTTGACTGTAGATTAATTGAAAATAGTGTATGTGGCCAAAACCGGTTTTGCTCAATGGATAGAGTGTGCCTGTGGACTGAAGGTCTCAGGTTCGATTCCCGTCAAGAGCATGTACCTTGGTTGCGGGCACATCCCCAGGAGGTGGTATGCAGGAGGCAGCTGATCGATGTTTCTCTGTCATCGATGTTTCTGACTCTCTATCCCTTGCCCTTCCTCTTTGTAAAAAATCAATAAAATATATTTTTAAAAAAGAAAATAGTAACTTGTCAGGTGCAGAAGTCAGATGTGGTATATGTTAGATGCCTCATCTTCTTCAGGTTATAAAGAAGATGAGGCATCTAACATATACCACATGTGCAGTGGGATGGCAGAAGTGTAAAAAGAACTAAGAGGTAAAACAAATTTCAGAAGAAATTTAGCAGTGATTCATGTTCTTATAAATTCAATTACTAATGTTTCTAGAATTTTCCCATAACACTTTTTTATAAATGAAAAAAATAATTGAAGTTGAATGATTTCAAAGATATCTTTAAGCATAAATATATTTTTGTCATCTCTCAGCATTTTCTTTTGAGTAAGCAATATAGTGGCCAACCTTTTCATATACTCTAATGTTGTCTGACTCTTCAGTTTAAAAGTTTATATTTTGCAGTGATTAAGGAAAAGGAGAAAAAAGAAAATAAGGAAAAAAACCAACCCCCCATAGACAGACAACTATATGAAGGAAAGGAGGGTTAGCTGTGGTGGTGGAAGGAAACTTGACTTGGGGTGGTGAACACACAGTATAGTAGTACAGCTGATGTATTATAGAGTTGTACCCCTGAAACCTATATAATTTTATTAACCACTGTCACCCCAATAAATTTAACAAATTATTAAAAATAAAATGAAATGTTTATATTTCTTTTCCATGAAAAAGCTCATATTACTTTGTAAGATGTGTCATGCCAGCACAGCCAAGGGTTTGGTAAGCCTGAGGGAGGGCGGTGAAGGATGTAGAAAAAACAGAAAAAGAGAATAAGCTGGGACTAGGTGGATCTCCTGTGCCTGGCTGAGGCCACAGAGATACAGATGGTAAGCTGAGCCTTTATTTTATAGTCAGAGGTAAACAAGGTAATGGTCACCATAGTTACAATATTCTTGTGAGTTTCACTTGTTTTGGCAGCACTTGGCTGCACCTCCCACAGCCCGTTAGCTACCCAGGAAAGATCTAGGGAGTGTCTAAGGTCAAGCTTAATTATGCTAAGAGGGCTGAGCCCTCTCAGCTGGGACTTGGTTGTGGCTTTGCCAACAGGTCAGTCTGAGGCTTAACGCTATAGCCTCTCCCTACAGTAAGGCAAACTATTTAGTAACTTCTTTGGGGGAGAACACAATATTAAAGCTATACAATAGGTTTTTCTATTTGACAATTCTTTATTTTAATCATGAAATTACATTTCACAAAGCTTTCAAGAAACTTTTCTGCACAGAGTCCATATTGTCCCCCAATCCCTTTTTTCTTTATTCATTGCTTCTGTACTGTTTCTCATTCTCCATATGATACTCACTTTTTTTAGCTCCTTTAGGAAGTTACAGTATAATTTCAAGGCATACCATGTCATATATGGTTCTCATTCACATTGGTACCATCTGGAGGGCTTGCTAAACACCCATATTGCTGGGCCCCTCCTCAGAATTTTCAGATTTCAGCAATTCCAGAGTTGGGCTACAAATTTCCATGCAGTGATTCTGCTCCATTAAGGAATACTGTCATAAAGAATAAAGGAATGTGGCATTCCTTTCACTGTTTAATAGTTTTCTTCTAAATTTAATCACACTTTGAAGATTAAATCAGCTTCTCTTGATTGTTAGCAGGAAGCTTTTATAGATACTTAGATCCTCAACAATTTTTCTAGAATAACTTGAAAATTTTATGATTCATTTTTCTTTTGAGTAAGCAGTTTAGTGACAAAGTATTAACAATTTTTTTTGTATCTCTAATTATATTACCTGGTGTAAGAAAAATATTGCCTGTCAAATACCAGTTTTTGTTTGATTTTTGCATCATAATATTCTTGAAAGTATTTTAAAAGTTGGGATCTGTATTCAGGCATGCTTATAAGTATCACCAAAACAACTAAACTGAATATTGGATATGTAAGTGGATGGGTGTGTTAGGCATCTCTATCCTAGATAATAGCATCTTTATTACAGGTTATTCTTCTATACCAATTTTAAGATGCATACAAATTTCAAATGTTTTAATATTGGAGAAATTATGTGACTTGGAATAGAGGGCATGCAATATTTGAATTAATTTTATAAGATGTGGAATGTGGACTAAAGAACTAGGAGTCTATGATGGAAAAAATTTATATTTATATTTTCCTTTTAGATTGTCCAGTTTATTGTTACATTGGTTCAGAATAACCAGCTTGTGAGTTTAAAACGTAAAAGGTAAGATTTTATGATAAAATATTTTGACCTACACATGGACAACCAAAAATTTTAGTGTTTAACCCATGAATGGCCCACATTTTCTGAGTGTACGCCCGTTTTCCTGGATGAACAGTCCTCCCTTGTTAAATTACACTCAAGTTTCAAGAGTATGTTGTTTCCTCATGCTGTCATCCTGCTCATGTTTTTGAAAGATAAGGATTGTCTAAATGATCACTTTACAGATACAGTTAATAAAAAATCTGCATTTCATTACATTAACAATTTAATGTTATCTTTAGAAATCCTGAGTGAAATTTTTTTTAAAGGCCATATCTTTAAAAAAGAAAATAAGCCTTTTTACTTGATGATATGTTTAATCTACTCATAAGGTCTTTAAAAGACTATATGTCAGCCATGGATTGTAATTCCTATAATTGTCAGTAACTACCATTGTTACAACTAATACATAAGAACAATAGTAGACAAAGGAATATTTGGAAGAAGAAAAAGGGTATCTTGTAAGGCTAAGATTTTAGCAAAGCTTGGTTATGCTCACAGCTTATGCAGTTGCCTTAATTAACCTACTTCCACTAACTATTGTAGTTCTTATGTTACCTATTTATTTTTTACCATGTAAGCACTGTTCTTAAAACTAGACCACCAACTTACCCCCATACATTAAAATAAACTCAAAATGAATAAAGGACTTCAATGTAAAATGGGAAACTAAAAATCTTAGAAGAAGCCAAAGGCAGCAAAATATTATAGCAGATACTTGTCTTAGCAATATCTTTTCCAATAGAGTTCCTAGGGCAATGGAAACTAAGGAGAAAATAAACAAATGTGACTGCATCAAAATAAAAAGCTTCAACACAGCAAAAGAAACCATCATCAAAACAATAAGAAAGCCCTCTGCATGGGAGAACATATTTGCCAATGTTATCTCCAATAAGGGTTTAATCTTCAACATTTACAGGGAAGTCATATATCTTAACAAAAATAACCCAATCAAAAAATGGGCAAAGGATCTAAATAGACACTTTAAGAGAGAACATTCAGAAAGCCAAGAGAGAGAAGACAACATGTTCCAAGTCACTCATTATCCGAGAGATGCAAATCAAAACAACAATGAGGTACCATCTCACACCTGTCGGAATGGCTATCATCAACAAATGACAAGTGCTGGAGAGGATATGAAGAAAAAGGAACCCTCCTTTACTGCTGGTGGGAATGCAGACTGGTGCAGCCAGTGGAAAACAGTATGGCATTTCCTCAAAAAATAAAAAATGGAACTTGCCATTTGACCCACTAATCCCACTTCTAGGAATAATATCCCAAGAAAACAGAAACACCAATCAGAAAGGATATATGCACCCCCTGTGTTCATAGCAGCACAATTTATCATAGCTAAGATTTGGAAACAGCCCAAGTGCCCACCAGCTGACAAGTGGATTAGAAAACTGGTACATCTACACAGTGGAATACAACACTGCAGTAAAAAAGGAATTCTTACCATTTGCAACAGCATGGATGGAACTGGAAAGCATTATGCTAAGCAAAATAAGCCAGTCAGTGAAAGATACATATCACATTATCTCACTCATTTGTGGAATATAAAGAACATTATAAACTGATGAACAACAATAGATACAAAGGCAAAGAAGCATTGAACAGACTGTCAAACTGCAGCTGCAGTGGGAAGGCAGGGGAGGGTTGTGAGGCAGGGGGGAGGTAAGAGATCAACCAAAGGACTTGTATGCATGCATATAAGGATAATCAATGGACACAAGACACTGGAGGTGGGGTGGGAGGGAAATGTGCTGTGGGGTAGGGGAGGTTTGGGGAAGGTCAATGGAAAAAAAGGAGATATATGTACCACTATTTGAAATACTTTAAACGATAAAATTAAAAACCAAAGAAAAAACAAAAATTAAAAAAAATTTATATGCTTAAGTGAGCAATGAAATATATCTGAAGAGAGTAGTTGATTACATTTATTATAGCAAAAGTAGTAAAAATGAATGAAGAAATAAGTTTTAGACACACTGATTTCCCCAGTTTCTTTCTAAGATATAACCATTTTTAGGAGTTTCTTTTGTATCCTTACTAAAATTTATTTTATCCTTACTATTCATTATTACCATGAGTGTATTTGTAGTAAAAGCAGTTTAAATTCCTTGTATGTTTGCTTCAGTGAATTCATAGATATCTTTTGATTTTTAGGCCTTTACTTCTGAACACTAATGGAGCCCAAAAGAAGAATCTGTTTCAGCACATAGTCAAAGAACCAGCTGATAATCACCATCATAAAGTAATTTTTTATTAACTTATATTTATTGTCTCAAACTGATTTTTATTAATAGTGATATTTCATGCATTCATATAAGTTTATTGAGTAATAATCTAAGTGTTCATCCTCTAGCTTTATTAAATCATGACTTTTTTCATTGTTTATATTAGATTATTTTAATAGCTAAACCATTATAAATATAGTTGTCTCAGTTGTCTGTTCCTAAGTTTGCTTCTCTCCCCCTGTCCAATTCTCCTGTCACCTAGAGATAATCAGTTTTGAGTTAGTATTTATTAATTCTGTAGTCATTTTATATTTGTGAACCCATAAATAATATTTGTTGTTATTTATTGTATATACTAGGGCCCAGTGCACGAATTCGTCCACCTTGAAAGGAACTGTGGGCCATGAGACTGTGCTATGCCCAGGAGCAGGTCTCGGCCCATCCTCCACGTCCTCACCCAGACTCTCACGCAGAAGCCCTTGGTCCCATGTCTGCCAGCAGCCCCACTCCCTAGCCCCCTGTCTGCCAGCAGCCCCACTCCCACCGCCGCCACTCCCACTCCCACTGTTGCCACTCCCATGCACTGGCCCTGCTTGCACCCGCTGACAGTGTGGAGTGATTGGGGCCAGCGCCAGCAGCAGGTGTGAGCGGGGCCAGTGCCGTCAGTGGGTGCAAGGGTTGGCTGCTCAGAATCGGGGAGGTGGAGAAGCCCTCAGTGGCGATCAGAGCTAGCAGCTTCTGCTTGCACCCGCTGATGGCGCCAAGTGATCGGGACTGGCACCAGGCACTGGCAGTGGTTGCAAGTGGCAGCTCTTCAAGGTCCTTTTAAAAAAATAGTTAAGTAGAATGCAGAGAATATCTTATACTTCTGCACTACTAATACTAATTAGTGTATAAGTCCAAGAAGAGCAGAGAATATATCTGTTTTGCTCACTGTTGTATTGTCAACATTTAGTAAATAGTAGGTTCTCAATTAGCATTTTTAAATAATGTTTTGGAGTTAATATAATTTCATTTTTTAATGTGTTTTTTTCTCACTGATTGTTTAGGTTCCACACAGTAGGACTGAAGGTTTAAAACCAAGGGAGCGGATTTCAGATGACATCATTATTTATGATGTTACTGACGATAATGCAGATGAAGAAAATATCCCAGTTATTCCAGAAACTAATGAAGATATTATATCTGATCCCTCCAAGTAAGGAGATTGTGAAATAACATTTATGAAAATAGTTACTTTTCTTACCAAAGAGCTAAATACAAACCACTTTATTCTTTGATGAACTAATATCTGACTCATGTTTGGGTTATTAAATTGAAAAATTAAACCAAATTATTCAACCAGATATCCCTCCCGACCCCATCCCCAAGAAAAAAAGACTCAACAAAAAACTACTAAGAATTCTGATTTTTTAATTTTGTAGCTAAACAGCTTTGATTCTTTGTGATCTTACATTGTATGAACTATCAATATTTGTGATTAAGATACTCCCCCAAGAAATTTAAGCCTTTTGATATGTGGTTTGGGGAGAGAATTTCCAAGGAAAAGGAATGGTTAGAATTAATTTATTAAATTGGTCTGTAATAGGTTCTTTCTCCTTTGTTGATATAGCTGTAGCCAGTACCCTGATATTGTCATTGTTGAAGATGACAATGAAGATGAATATGCACCAGTCATTCAGAGTGGAGATCAGAATGAGCCAGCCAGAGAATCCCTAAGTTCAGGCAGTGATGGCACAAGTCCTCTCATGTCTAGTGCCATCCAGCTAAATGGCTCCTCCAGTCTGACTGCAGATGATCCTGTTACCATGATGGATTCCATTTTAAATGATAACATCAATCTTTTGGGAAAGTGAGTGTTCATTTAGATGTCTAAATTTATTTTCTTTGCTTATTTACTTTATATATTCTATTTCTCTTTGACCTTCCTTTCACATTATGAACCCATCTAGTATACGGTACCTTTCTGTGTTTTGGTCAGGGTTGAGCTCCACAAATGCTGTTTTGAGAAGGAATTAATCATTCCATGAGCAGTCTTGGTATTTTCTTGGCAGTTCTTCAGATTTTCTTAATGAAATACTTGTTTTGAATGTCCATAAAATATATGTGATTGTATTTGTGTTTATATCAGGGTGATGGAATAACATATCTCTATTAAGGGACTTATTTTTAGCCTAAAAAAAAACACACAGAAATTAGTAGCAATAACCAGTAATAAGAGGTTAACCATTTAATAATTTATAATATAGAGGAAAGAAAGAAATCAGACTGTTTTTGCAAAACCTTTTTTTCTGTAAACACTGAAGTTTTATGTAAAAGTGCTGTGAGTTCTTGGTTAATCATATTTTTAGGAATCCCAGATACTGAATAGAACCTCTAAGATAAGAATTGGTAAGGATTCCAAAGTTGCTGGATGTTTTGCCTTGCTAGATTGCAATGTAATTTAAACATAAAAACAGGAAAAGCTAATTGATTTCTTTTTTTAAAATCTTTTTCCTTAGGGTTGAGCTGTTGGATTATCTTGACAGTATTGATTGCAGTTTAGAGGACTTTCAAGCCATGCTGTCTGGAAGACAGTTTAGCATAGACCCAGATCTCCTGGTTGATGTAGGTACTTTGAACAATTTTAGCTGTACTGGTAGTTTGTGTGTCTGTACGTTATTTATAAATCAGTATATCATTTTCTTGTATTCTACACTTGTTTTTGCATTTTTTAAAAATTAATGGTTTTGTTTATTAGAAATATTGAACAGATGGGTTCAAGACAATGAACAAAGGTAATCACTACCCATCTGTAAATAGCAGTGCAGTTAATCCCCCTGTAACAACATATCAACTCTGTTCAACAGTACTATTAAGTCTTGTCTGGATTTGTTGCTGTATTATGGTTTTCTTTAGAATAAACTGTTATTGAATAGAAATTGGTGCAAGTTACTAATAGAGATATGTGGCCAGGAAATAGCATGAAGGCACTTACTAACTTTGAGAATGTTTTCTATTCAAATGTATTATACTTGCTATATTTTTATAATGTTTGTGTCCTGTGTCCTAAGGTTCTCCTGCTTCAGTCCCCACCCACTACCACCTATATGAACTTGACTCCAGTGTTGTCTGGTCTGTAAATACTCATCCTACCATTCCTGGCACTAACCACCTTTCTTGTTCCCATCCCTTGTGTAACTATTACTCCTTCTCCCCTTGCCTAAAGTTTTCTTTGTGACCTGCTCCCATCCAGATGAATCTGGTTCTCTCTCCATTTTATGTTGTGAACATATTTCTGCCTTTTGAAGGTTTTGACATATTTTTTTTCTCCTTAAAATTCTTCTCTCATATCAAGAGTGTACAGTCTTGTTCTTTCAAGAGCTCTATGAGGCTAAAAGAAATCAGTTGTGTCTTACTCTTCAATCTTAATTGACCACCTTATCTCTCTACTGATCAGTCTGTGTCACAAGACTTTAATACCTTTTCCAAATAATGTGCCTCTCAGGATGGATTTCATCTTCTTTGAAGACTTCTTTTCCATGCTGACCTATGTTACCATCTTAAGTGAATTCAACATCCTTGTTAATGACCTACTTCAACTTGTTAACAGTAACTTGACTGCTCTTTTATCCTATCTATCTTTATACTCACTCTGAATCAAGGTTCCTTTAGAATATCTGTTCCTTAGATCACTAAGAAAAAAATAAAATCCTATTACATCTACAAATCCTTGTAATCTTCAACTAGGTTATTTTAATTCAATTTTGAAACATTTTTCATACTCATTTGTCCTCAAGACCTCATCCAGCCAACTATTTCCTATTCACAAAGGATAATTCACCTCTTCCTGGTCCTCTCATAAGATGTGGAATCTCATCTTACAGAAAGTACTTGCTCTTTAAAGCCAATTTGTACACCTGTCCCCTGCATCTTTGTTTTTCTCCCCCTATCCTTGATCTTCCCCATCTTAAAAAGCATTTTGATATGTTGCTCTGCTCATTTACCATTCTGCTTTTCTATACTTTCACTCATTTAGAAATGAGTGGCTTATGTGTGTTACTTCTTTTTTACTCTGTATTTCATTTGAAACCCTGTATTGTCGTCTTATTTACTCTAAGCTTGTGCTGCCTTGGTTTATCCATAGTAAGTAGGCTGTGATTTCCTGCTCTCCTCCTCCTCTCCTAATTAAGGTTTCTGGGCTAGTGGAAGAACATTTGTTTTGAATCAGATTTGGGTTCTCCTTTTGGCTCCTGTTACTTATTTTACTAGCTGTGTTAATATTAACCTTGGAAAAATTAAGCTTTCTTTCCAAGTTTCCCTATCTATAAAATGTAGCTAATGCCCAGAAGGGCTGTTAACAAGAATTATAAGTAATTAGGAGCATTATTATTTACACTATTGATTTTCTGAAATAGAACTTGTTCTGTTTATTTTAGAAGTCCTGGGATCTTTATTGTCTCCTGTCGCCCTAAAAATTCTCCATTCCTCAAAAACTGTTCTTTTTTCTTGCTTTTTCTACTTCTACTTGGGTCTTTCCCAAGGTACTCAGTCTTTTATCCTCTTATTTTATCTTCCTTTTCTTTTTCTAGCCTTCCTCTCTGAAGGGATTTATGCTTGTACAATAGAATTGTTCTCAAATATCTATCTCCAGCTCTTAATACTTTTTTTTCCTAAATACATTTTATTGATCTTTTACAGAGAGAAAGAGAGAGGGAGAGAGACTTAAAAACATGGATGAGAGAGAAACATCGATCAGCTGCCTCCTGCACACCTCCCACTGGAGATGTGCTCACAACCAAGGTACATGCCTTTGACTGGAATCAACCTGGAACCCTTCAATGTGCAGGCCGATGCTCTATCCACTGAGCCAAACCGGTTAGGGCTCTTAATACTTTTTAAAGTAAACTTGCTTGAATTCTAAGTCCATGCCTTTAAGAGTCATCAGATCTTGCCTTAGATTCTGTTTAACACCAAATTTTTCTTTATTCTCTAAACTAGATACCCTTTTTAGCTTTTTAGTTTTCTGTAGTGGTATTAGACTTCATTTTATTCACCCAGGGTAGTAATCACAGAGGCATCTAGTCTTCCTGATCTTTATTTCATCATTCACCAACTCCGGAATATTTTCCAAAATAACATTCTCAAGCATCCCTACTTTTTGTTTCTAATACTGGCTCTCTTAACAAGACCTTAATTATCTCATCCTTGAATGATGCTGTATTGTTATAAATAAAGAATCCATGTATAGGTTGGCTTGTTCTCTGAGATGGCAAGATAATAAGGGCATAAATAAGTATGCTGAAGAGTTCATGGATTCTCTCTGCAAAGTTCAGTTATTAGTGATCCCATGTGGAGTCGGCAGAAGAGAATTCAACCATAGAATTCAACCCAACTATGTCAGCTCCTCCTCTGTGATCTTTTTTTTTTTTAGTCCAGGCCATGCATCTGCTGGGAATACATGAAAGCAATCCTGAGTCAATGTATAGGAGGAGTGGGGCAAAGAATGAGTGGGCCACTTCAGATGCCACTCCCATTAGGGACAAAATCTGGTTAGGCCTCTAAGCTGAACTGCAGAGACTGGCAGTCTCCTATAGTTGTCTACTCTTAAGGAACCGAGTCTCTTCCTCTTTAAAGATCAGTAGGTGATAAAGTTATGTAAGAAAAGAAGAAGCTGGGATATCTTTAGGTCTACCATGAATGTAGAACTTTGAGAGGAATCAGTATCCAGACAGGATAGAGGAGGAACCTCCCTGTGGCCTCTGTGAACTGTTGGGTGTGTTCTCTGGAAATGTTGAAATTGCCAAATCTCACTGCTCTGTCCACTTCTTACTGCGGAGAGAACGGTCTTGTTCCCTGACTGGCCTCGCTTTACTTTTGAACCTTATGTACACAACTTACTATTCAACTTAGAATTTGTGTGTTATTTGAACTTGGTTGTTGCTAATGTTATAATGTATTCTTCTTTTCTTCCTTCCTTTCCAAATCATTAATCATTCCCCAGGGACTGATACATATTGCATAGTTTTATTCAGACCTTTTGTTTATTCTATACATATGTGTATGTTTGTGTCTCTGTGTTTTTCTTCTTTCCTTCTCTTAACTCCTTTGTACTTTTGAGCTCCACCATCCATTATTATTATAATACTAGAGGCCTGTTGCATGAAAATTTATGCAAAAATGGGCCCTCCTTCCCCTGGCTGCTGGTTCTGCCTTCACTCTGGCCGGAGCCGCCTTTCTGCCTTTGCTCTGGGCCAGAGCTGCCTTTCCACCTTCCCACGCTGCCCAGAGGCCCAGAGCTGCTGGGGTAGTGCTGAACACCTGTGTTGTCGCCATGGCAACAACACAAGCGTCCTGCCCCTGATTCTCCGCACCTGCGTATGCAAATCAATCCTCCATCTTTGTTGGGTGGATTTGCATATTCACTCCTGATTGGCTGGTGGGTGTCAACGAAGGTCAATTTGCATTTCTTTTTTATTAGTGTAGATAGATTGTATATGATCATATGTTTCTATTTGCTGTTGTTCTTATCTTTTAGATTGTAAGCTCCTGAAGAGCAGGAATAGTGTATTCATTTTACATTTTTTATGATGTTGTTATATGGTCAATAAATCCCTATGAAATTAATGACTTTGACACGGTTTAAACAAAAGTTATGTCTGTAAACTGGCTGGCCTGAGGAGTACAGTAAGCAATGATTTTAGCATTTATAGCTTCCCTCGCTAGATGAATTAAAAAGAACCAGCAGAGATATACTATCTGTAATCTAGGAGCCACTATCAGAACAGATTCTATAAATTTATCACATCATTAGCAAATAGTCAGTAAAGACAGTGTCAGGAAAGTGAACTCAGTCCTGGTTGGCACTTAAGGCCCAAGGTATTTAGGGAGAAGAAAAATTAAGGAAATGAAGGAGAATGGAGTTTTGGAAAAATCACCATTTGTCTCAAGTTTTTACTTTATAGTTTTATAGAGAAACTAGAGGCTCAGTGCACGCAATTCGTGCACTGGAGGGGGGTGGTTTCTCAGCCCGGCCTGTGCTCTGTCCCAGTCCAAGAGCCCTCGGAGAATATCCTTAGTGCTGCTGCTTCTGGCTAAGCGGCGCTCCCCCTGTGGGAGCACACTGACCACCAGGGGCAGCTTTTGCATTGAATTCATGCCCCCTGGTGGTCAGTGCACATCATAATGACCAGTTGTCTGCCATTTGGTCGATTTGCATATTAGCCTTTTATTATATATGATAGGATTCGTTACAATGTCTCATTCATGGGCTAGCTTGCTCTGTTTTTCTTTCTGCTTTTCTCTTCGCAACGTATTTTACTCCATGGAAGCTTCCTAGTGCAGGAACTACATCTCTTCACCCAACATGGCTGTATAAAAATTTTGAATACAGTTAGCTTTTTAATATTTTTTAAACTTATCATCTTTCTTGTTTGGTCTTTCAGCTTTTCACTAGTTCTGTGCAGATGAATCCCACAGATTACATCAATAATACAAAAGTAAGTTTTAATTCATGTTGCTCAGGACCCATAGCTATAAGAATTTTTAAGAGGTCTTAGTAAGCATAGAGCAATACCTCTCCCAGTTACAAAGCATTTTATATTACCTAATATGTGTGATCAAGATAGTAAAATTCCAGATGAAAAATTAGCTTTGGGTTATAGGTGAATCATTACCCAGTTTTACTGGTATTTAACTATCAGTGCCATTAACTATTAGTATGAAATCAGTCCTCAAAGTGCTGGGAGATCACTTGATTAAACTATTGGACACTATCTAGAACTCTAATTTTTCTATATATTTTGGAGCAATATGTATTTTGCTGTTTAACTGGATTTAAGGTATTGGTTTTCGGAATAGGGAGGAGATCCAAGAATAAAGAATGACATAGTGTATACAAAAAACAAACACTATATCACATCACTAAACAAGTGCAATACATGGGTTCATTCAACTTAAGGTCTAACATTTAATAATATCATATTTACTGAAACATAGTGAAATGGTACATAGAATCTTATAACATAAATCTAGGCAAACTATGATCCACTTGACAAATTTAGGCATGCTGCCTGCTTTTGTCAATAAATTTTATTGGAACATAGCCATACTTGTTCTTTCATGTACTGTCTATGGCTTATTTTGCATGAAAATTACAGAATTGAGTAGTTAAGACAGAGAACACATTTATGTGTGTGTGTATGTATGTGTGTGTGTATATATATATATATATATATATATATATATGTGTGTGTGTGTGTGTGTGTGTGTGTATGTATGTGTGTATATGTATATATACACACACATACCCACACTTAAATTTACTAACCGGCCTTTATAGAAAAAGTCTGCCAATCCCTAACATAAATCATCCAAAGTGATTCAAAGTTCATAAATTCTTTCAACTTTAAATTACCCAGGATTAGAAACTACCAAGAACAATATCACATCAACTGCTATTCCCTTGATCATGACAGATACTATGTGACATGGATTTATAATAATCTTTCCTACTAAATTAGGATACTCCTCAATACAGGAATCTGTGTGGCCCCTATTAATGAATAAGAGTCTGCATGGGAGCTGAAACCCATTTGTCATCCTGGTTCTCATATGTTTTATTGGTATCCTTGGAAAATACCTATTTTAAGAAGTATAAAAATAATGGTATTAGTGCTTTAATATTTATTGTAAATGCTAAGAATTATTTTAATATAAATTTTTGGAAAGGTGTAAGTTGTTATATCATGGTGTTTTTATTGTTTCGGAATCCTAGAACTCTTACTGCTTTATTTTACGATGAATATCAGGGAATTACTGGAATTAGTGTGTTTGTTATACCATATGTACCTAACCAGCAACAGCTATCTGGGATTTACAGCTGTTTAGGAGAAGTTGTGAATCTCTACACCTCACTTTGAATATCTTTGAAAAGAGCACTGAAGAATTTAACAGCATTAGTGATTTAATTCCCTTACAATCATATGTAAGGAGAGAAGACATCACTGGTTGAAAGAAGCAATTTAAATGACAGAAAAGAACTGAGAAAATAATTAAAAGAGCCACATAAAGGAAATGAAGAACCATCTCAACTGTGAGACTTCCAAATACAGGGATAAATAGTTTTAGGATGTTATCATGTTATCCTCAACTTTCTAAATGTGTTCAGTTACTCTGTGAATGAAATGTATAGTACATTTTTAATGAAAATTTTAAAATTGATTTGTTTAAAGGGTGATCTCTTTATTAGAAGTTTGAAACCAGCCATCTTTGACTTATTCCCATCTTTTGGCCTTGACAAATTCTGTGTATTCTGCTGTTGAAATGCTCCCTCCTTTTCATACTATTGTCATCCTAGTTCAGGATCTTTGTTTCATCCACTTGATGACAGCAATAGCTTTTTAAATCAGTCTTGTTACCTCTACTCAAATCTCTCTCTAGTACATATTTCTTGCTCCCTCTTCTCTATATGTCAGATAATATACCAATATTCACTTTTTTTTTTTTTTTTTTTTGCTCTTTTCAGGAACACATAAAATATGAAAAAAATTTGTTATTTTTTTCTCTTTTAGTCGGAGAATAAAGGATTAGAAACTACCAAGGGTAATGTAGTTCAGCCAGTTTCAGAAGAGGGAAGAAAATCTAAACCCAAAACAGGTAGGTATAAATGTAGTACTAATTTCTATAGAATTTCTAAAGTAAATGTCCTGTAAAGAAGCTAATGCATGCCAGTGAACTTCTTGCCATACTTAACAATTGAACACAGATATATTGATCTCAGTTCTCTGCATAATGGTTCCAGAATATAGAGAAAATTGAGTTGGTAAGGTAATAGTTCTTAAAATTTAAGTTGTGTGGGGGGATTTTCTATTTAACTTTGGAAAGAACCTTCATTTCTTAATCCTACCTAATAAAAAAGTGTAATATGCAAATTAATCATCACTCCACTATACCCACAAAACATGCCCACCAGCCACACCACCAGCCAATCAGAGCGAGTATGCATATTAACCACAACCAAGATGGCTGCGACCACAGAGAGCAGGAGAGGGGCTTGGGTTTCCCATGCAATAGAGGAAGCCAAGCTTCTGCAGCCTAGCCTAAGCCTCCACTAAAGCTACAAAGTTTTAATTGTAGAAGGTAAACGAATTCAAACAGAAATGGCGGCAACTGCGGAGCAAGCAGGGGCCTTGGCTCTGCTCCAGGCTGCAAAGTTTCAATTGTAGAAGGTAAATAAATTCCAGATACCAGGGTCTCGACTTGGGTAGCCAGGGGGTGTGGCTGGCCTGCAAACCATCACAGGCCCCTCACCCAGGCCATCCTACACCCCTAGGGAACTCCCATCCTGATCCGGGACATCCTTCAGGGTAAACCAGCTGGCCCACCTGTGCACCAGGCCTCTATCCTGTCTAATAAGAGTAATAGGCAGATTGACCATCACTCCAACACACAAGCTGACTGCCCCCATGTGGACACAAGATGACCAGCAGGGGAGGGCAATTGGGGAGGGACAAGGTCTTCAAGGGAGGGCAGTTTGAGGCGATCAACCCTGCAGGGAAGGGCAATCAGGGGTGACCAGGCTGGCAGAGGAGGGAAGTTGGGGGCAAACAGGCTGGCAGAGGAGCAGTTAGACATTAATCAGGCTGGCATGAGAGTGGTTAGGGGGTGATCAGGCTGGCAGGCAGAGGTGGCTAGGGGCAATCAGGAAGGCAGGCAGGTGAGCAGTTGGGAGCCAGCAGTCCTGGATTGTGAGAGGGATGAACATCCCTCAAGAGGTCCCAGATTGAAATGGGTGCAGGCGGGGCTGAGGGACACCCTCCACCCCCACCCCATGCATGAATTTCATGCACCGGGCCTCTTAATTGTTGAATAAAAGACTATTCAGACTTGAACATTTTTTAATTTGCTGACAAATACCTTATTTTGTTGGCTTAGTGATTACACATAAGTAGATCTCTGCTTTTGTATTTTCCACTTACATCATGAACTCTGTATAAGCTGGTGATAAAAGTGCTTTTTTTCTAATCTTTGTTATAGATAAACAGCTTATCCAGTACACTGCCTTTCCACTTCTTGCATTCCTTGATGGGAACCCTGCTTCTGCTGTTGAACAGGGGAGCACAGCATCCTCAGAAGTTCTGTCCTCTGTAGATAAGCCCATAGAAGTTGATGAGCTTCTCAATAGCAACCTGGACCCAGAACCGACCCAAAGTAAGCTTGTTCGCCTGGAGCCGTTGACTGAAGCCGAAGCTAGTGAAGCCACACTGTTCTATTTATGTGAACTGGCTCCTGCGCCTCTGGATAGTGAAATGCCACTTTTAGATAGCTAAATTCCCAAGAAGTGGACTCTACATGTATATATTCATCAAAATGATGAACTATTTATTTTAAAGTATTATTTGGTACCCTTTTTTGTAAATTTCTTTGTTTTGTTTTAATTGGATACTGTGGAATCAAAAGCACCTTTTGCTTTTCTCACTAACCACACAGCCTTGCAAAGCTTTCAGATATTACTCAGCTCTATAGGTACACAAGATTTAATGCACATTACTGCATATCTTTAAGTTGGATTCAGATGGGCATTTTTTTTCTGATGGTAGTAAATTTGAATTATTTTTTATATATATATATGCCCATTAACCCAGGTTAAACTTTTGTTTGTTTTACTTGTTTGATGCTGTCTGTTGGCATTGAGTGTCAGTCACTAAAATTAACGGTAGAACTAAAGCTTTCTCTGTTCCAATTACTTTTACTAAGTATTTTTCACTTGGCTTATTTTTAAAACTGGGAACATAAAGTGCCTGTATCTTGTAAAACTTCATTTGTCTCTCTTGGTTCAGAGAAGTTCATTCATGTTCTTCAGGAAAGGCAGTGTACATGAGTGCTTGTGTCTGATATGGTTCCAGTTCTGTATGCCTAGAAGAGGATGGGAAGGTGTCAGCCCAATCCACCTAGTTGGACTAGTTTTAAGTAAAAGTTTTTGGTTTGTTTTTTTGAACCATAATATTTAGTAAAATAAATATAATGAATGTTGCATACTGGTGTTTATTATGTGTCTTCTTTGGAGGTGACATCCACATGAACCATTTTTTCCCCCTCTTCTTGTGAAGTAGATTTAAACTGTAAACTGTTATCCTTAATATGAGTTACATCATGATCTTTGTGCCTCTTCTCAGAAGATAGACTGTATTATAATAAGGGAGGAATGGGAGGAATATAAAGTCTCTAAACTTAATGTTTTATAGTTCTTTGTTTAAGAATTATAGTGGCTTGCTTTCTGTTTCTAATAAAGAACTGAGAGAATTATGCCTCTCATTGTTCCAAATGAGTAAAGAACACATCACTGGATGCCTCTAAGGGTCTATAATTTTTGTTCTGAGAGAAAGTCAGGTCACAGTCTCTTTGGAACAGGTGCTCAGAGGATTATAGACACTTAATGCAAGGTAAGGCCATCTTGAAGATCAGGCAGGGGGCTGGAAACAGTGTGGTGCCTGAATATTTTATGGGGCTATTTAATGAGGTATTACATGGGTGGCTTCCCTATTGGCCATATTCTGTTTCTTGATATCTTGGAATTTCTCTTACTATGATGCAAAAATGCAAAGTAAAACCTAGCACAGAGTAGTAGAAAACCCTTTCTTAGCAGATTATAAAATATTTGGCTCAGACAATGGGATCTCAGTGAACTAATTAAAAGACCTCAGAACAGTTTTCTGCATAAGCTTTCTAGATGTTTTCAGGTGAAAAGAGTTGAGAAACTTAGAAGAAAAAGAACTTTAGAGACCTTTTCTCTTTCTCTTCCCTTCCTCACTGGGATATGACCAAGTTTCTTCTCCTTGGGGACATTTTGGAGCTGTGAAAGTATTCTAAAATGATTTTGGAAAACTATATCCCTTAGTAATTTTAAGTTGACATTTTAAGATTCAGAATAGATAAAAGGTGTTATGTTTTGTCTAATGTGGAAAGAATAATTGTTAAGGGGGATAAAGCCTTGTTGTGAGGCATCTTTTCAGGCAGATCAAGTTTAGGAAAGTACGCATGAAAATTGGAGACCTGGAAACTGACTTCTTTAAAAATAATTTTGTGTTTACCAGAGGAAGTCTCTGTGTATTACTTGGAAAACAAATTACCACCATATGCAGACAGTTAATTTAGAGAATTACTCCCATCTCCATCCCCCTCCAACTTTCTTTTACCTCAAGAGATAAAATAGGTAGCCTGTAACTAACAAGAGCTAACCGTGTTTTTTCAAGGCATGTCCCTACAGCTGGTCCTCCAATATTTCATTCACTGTTGTTTCGTTATGATGTTGATGAGGAAATTAATTCCCAGCTGGGACCACTGTGAAGTTTGCTTGTTCTCTCCATGTCTGCGTGGATTTTCTCTAGGACTCGTTTCCTCCTACGTTCCAAAGATGTGCACGTGAGGTTAATCACTATCAATAAATTGTCTCAGTAGAGTGGGTGTACCCCATGATGGAAGTTTCCTGTCCTTTGGTTCCCACCTTGAGCCCTGAGCTGCTGTGATGGGCCCTGGCCACCTGCACATTAACTGGAATAAACAGACTAGAAAATAATTATCTTTCTCAGATTCATGTATACAACACATTTCTATGTGTAATACTACAAGTATTTTGGGTCTTTATTGAGAAGTTTTGTGATTTTTTGTGACCAGATATATTCCAGATTAACTTCACAATTATTTATATCAATTAGCCTATGATAAAGTTGGTTTTGCTGTATGACATTTTGATGAACACTCACAGAATGCCTACATTTAAGAATTAGCACCTATACTTCCTAGATTTTTGTTTTCAAACTTTTTTTTTTTTTTTTTTTGAGAGCTGGTTGCATATTGGGCAATAGAGCTAATCAACCTATTTCAAGAAATTGGTATCGAACAGACTACAATACAATAGACTTCGATAGTTTTGAGGAACAGTGCCTAGTACTTTTTGTAGTGTCCCCCAATTTGGGGTTACTTTTTTTTTTTTCCTGGTTAGACTGGGGTTGTAGGTTTTGGGAAAGATTAGAGAGGTGAAATGCCATTTTCATCATATGTCAAGATACATGCTGTCAATGTTAACTTTTCACCGTTAACCTTAACTTAGATTGGAATGTCAAAGGGAACATTTCTGAGCACAAAGGTTCAGTATCTTCCATGCCATCTCAAAAACAACCCGAGTGGCCCATGGCGCCACTGCCTTTCACACATCAGTTTGTTTTTGTCTGCCAGCTACAGATTTTGAACTCATTAGCTTTGCAATTAGTGAGCCACTTCCATTGGTTCTAATAACTAAAAAATTAATAGAAGCTCTCTTTATGCTATATATATATCTTAGAAAATCTTGGGTGAAGGAGTAGAACAGCTTTTGCCCAGTAAATAAGGATGCTTTTAGAGATGTCACTGGGCAGTACTAAAAGGTATAAATAACACTAGCCAAATACAAGTCAACCATAGGAAGCAAGACAAGGAAAATGAAATCCAATAAAAATGAAACACACTTGATCTGCAGAGACACTGTTAAGAAGGTGGAAAGACAAAGCTACAGACTGGGAGAAAATATTTGCAAACTGCATATCTGATAAAGAGCAATCTAATAAAATATATTAAAAAAAACTCAAAAAAACAAATTAAAAAATCCAACTAGAAAAAGGCCAAAAAGACATGAATTGACGTTTCCCGAAAGGACACATGGATGGCATATATGCATGTGTCCATTAGCCATTTGGGAAAGGCAAATTAAACCATAATGAGATACCACATTTCTCTCAAGACAGCTAAAATAAGTGATATCAAATGCAAAAATTCAAGGAAACCAAACATATATCAAAGGTTTGACTATGAAATGCTGTCACTCTGGAAAAGTTTGGCAATTTCTTATAAAACTAAACACTTAACTCATCCACAAGGATTCCTCTCTTCATCTGACTCTGGCAAACCAGTAACCTGTTCTCAATTTCTCTAATTTTATTGCAATTATGCTATATGAGTGCAATAACATATATGACCATTTGGGATTAGTTTTTATAACCCACCATATTGCCCTGGAGATCCACTCAAGTTGTACCAATAGTTCCCTCTCTTTATAGTTAAAATAGTATTCCATGACACAGATGTACCATTGTGTTTAAAACTTCATCTGTTGGGAAGTTACCAATAAAGCTCCTATGAACATTTATGTAAATTTTTGTGAATGTTAGTTCTTCTGGGTAAACACCCAAGAGTTTTTTTAAGGACGTCGTTTTGTGAATAATACTGGAGAAACAGACCATTTCAAATGAGTTATTGAATAAAGTGTAATAAAACTAAGTCATGGAATAGAGCATTTATTTATTTTTTAGTAAGGAACTAAAAATGCCTGGAAGATACATCAAGAAGAGAATTATCTATCAAGTGAATTAAGAATATTCTCCAAACTAAGCTGGTCCACCTAAAAGTTCTTCAGGAGAAGCCAACTTTTAATCACCATTGAGATCTAATGTTAGGGGTTACTTTCAGGGGACAAAAAGAGTAAATACCACCTTTAAAAGAATTTTTCAGGAGAGAAAATGGTCAGTTAACCCTCTAGTGCCAGATTCTTTTGTACACAGGAGGAACACGGGTCTGAGTATTAAAGTCACCTAAATTTGAGCTGATAAAGAATTAATACACTGCACACTTCCTCTTAATTCTTTTATTTAGAGAGAACACACATTTAAATCATGGAACACAATATCAATACAGAATAAAGGGGAATTAAGTTGAATTGTTATATTTTGTTTAAATAAATATATTAAAAGTAAAGGTAGATTAATATACTCACTAATGACACAAGTAACTAAGTTTCTAATTGGCTGTTATACTGCTTGATTTTTAAGATTATAATAACCTATATATATTAATTAGGTGGCAGTAGATACAAAGCATTTTAAACACTTTTTGAATTGTATAGTATACTATAAGCAGTTTATTATACAGCATTCCATCATTCTCGTGACCTCAATTTAAAAGTAGAAGGCAAGCTGGACACCAGCAATCCACATTACATAAATTACCCACCAGTACTCAGGTGTAAAATCTATTATGTGGGGTGGTTTTTTTTTAATAGAAATAAATTTTGAATGTCAGCTATTTTTGGCTTAGGACTTCTCAGCTTTGCCACTAATTAGCTATCTAAGTCTGTTCCTCAGTTGCTTCATTTTTATAACAGGAGGATTGGACTAGATTTTGTCTAAGTATCTACTGAGGCCTAGTATTTGCAGTTTCTTGCTGTCCTGTCAAAAGTTTAACTCCTTTGATTTTCAAAATGAACTTTCAAGGTGATTTTCACCAACTTCCTTCTAATTCATGATTATCCTTTTCAAAGCCTTTGTCTAAATCCTTCAGAGTTCCCAGCATCTCCATTAACCCCTTACTTCCACATGTGTTTACAATGACCAAAACAAAGTTCACTATGTTGGTGTGGAAGGCATTCTCTACCCAAGGAAGATTATAACCTAAGTGAATATTTAATTTAGTACTCATCACCAATATGAGTTTCGTTGAAGTCTCTGTCTCAATCTTCATCATAACCTACACTATTGTCCCTCAAACACTCCCCACCTTTCTAAGTTCCCTATATTTATATAACGGAAAAACCTGAAAAGATTTTTCAGACAACTGTCATTTAAGTGACTTGTTTACATAATTCTTAAATAGTCCATGTTCTTTGAAATCTCCTGTAAGGCAAGGCATCAAGTATTTCAAAAGGCAGCCACTTCCTTTTATACTTTCTAAAACAGTTTAAGTTCTAACAACTTAAAAATCAAATTGTCAATTTTTCTTTTTACTATTATTTTCACAGGTACAGAACAAGATGAACCTAAATGTCCACTTTTCTTAACTTTCCACCATACTCATAAAACCTTTGATTCATTCTAACACACCTATCAATGCACTTGGCAAGAATGAATAAAATGGCAAGCAGCAAAATCTCATGCCAGAACACTGGAGAAATTTTATGGGAAGCACACACACACACAACTTTACAAAAGTTGGAAATACTATTAATTTCC